CCGCCCCCCTGCCACCCCTCCCCCCGGCGCCCCCGAGCGCGGGGCAGCTGCCTGCAGCGGCCGCTCCTCGGCGATGCCGCGGGGATGGGGACGGCGGGGTTTCATGATGGAGAGTGCAGAAGCTCCGTGAACGCCTTTAGCACAGCTGGGAATGTTATTTCCAAATACTTGCATCTGGAGAAACTCTCCTCTCGGTGCTCCCCGAGCCCAGTTCATCCCATTGTCTGATGACTACTGGGACGCTGAGCTCATCAGCCTCGCTGAGCATGGGAATCATTTATGGTAACTGCCCTCGGTGAGACAGCATCTTCTAAATCGCTGCTCGACTGAGACCACGCTGGGACACCCCAGCAGCACCCTCACCCTCCCCAAATCCCCGCGGGCAGCATTTTAAAGAGGTTTTCTTTCCTCCTGGGATCACACTGGGAGAGACTTTGAGGGTCCTTCCCTCTCTCCTCCCCACACTTCGGCGAGGCTGGCAAGCTGCTGCCAAGGAGTTTGAGTCACGCGAAGCCTACGTGCGCTGCCAGCCACGGCAGAAGAGGTTAACGAGAAGGCTGAACGACGAGCCCCGCGGAGGAAAGCACCCTGCTGCCGAGAGGGAGCTGGCCCCGTGCATTACTCTGCAGGCTGGGGGCACGTCCTGCAGCCCGACAACCAAACAGCCGCTGCCTGGGGCCCGACTGACCCTCTCAAAGGGTCTCGGTACATCACAAGCGGTGTCCTGAGCCTACCTCGCTCATATTCGGCTCCACGGGCATCTCGGGGGGGGGGCTGTCAGGCCTTTCTTTCCCTCTCCTCCCTGCCAGCACAAGGGATTTCAGATACCTATAAATCACCCTCCAGAGTCAGTCCCTCTGCCCAGCACAGTCCCCCGCACCCCTTCTCTGCGCACAGAGACCGAGCGGAGACGGCACCGAGTTATTTCAGGATCCTTCCCTCCTCCCCCCCCCAGCTCCCGTTTAACTCGCATTATTCTACCTTGCTGGAGATACCCTGGAGTGTTATCACAGCCAACTCCTTGGAAACAGCGCTGGAGCCCA